AATATGTCACTATATTTCCATACGTCTTTAAACTATTAATTAAATCATTCGTTGATAGACTTTGATTGCCTAGCTATACATTAATTTAATTCAACTGTGTAATAAACATCTATAATCTTATTATATACTACGGTATGTAGTACCAAATTTCACGCAGTATCATCATTTCTCTCTAGCAACATAAAATTAATCCCAAAAATTGGGTCTTCTAAATCTCTTAAAAATTTAATGGTTTTATGGCCAAAAAAATAAAAAATAAAAATGGACATTTGTTCTCTTCAATTTCAAAGAAAATTTTAAACCTTTTTAACACTTTTAGATTTAATGACTTATTACGTACTTTCATACAGGGCAAGGATATAATGCAAAAACTAACTAAATCAGCTATCATTTATCGTGGAAGAGCACATCCTCTTGATGGAAATAGAGACCAATTAATAAATGGATCTGCTGCTTCTAAGAGAGCCAAGTTGTGTGATGGTACAACACCTTCTTCGAAACACAACTGGCCTACAAATCCATTTGTTGATATTACTAATGGTAACTACCTTAGTACCTTGACACAGTCCAAATACTTAATAAATCATAACACTATGATAAATGTATAATATGTGATAATTTATATCGTAGTTATTACATCAACAAGCTCATCGTTACATGACACCGCTGGAGGTCAACCGGTAATTACTACTCATGACAATGATATCGATGACATGATACGTGAGCTAAGCCTCCCTGAAACAACAATGGAAATTATTCACACGAATAATTTGATTCCAGAATTTCCGGATGGTCATACAAGTACAGTGGGTACGACGTACTTTAATTTATTCCAATTATATTACCATGTCAGCCATCTATTTAAGTAGTTATGTATACTTCAAGGATTTGTTGTTATTTTTTTATATAGAGGCTCAAATTGATGATACACTTGAAAATCATTTTGAAAGTGATGAAGATGTGATAGGATATGAAGGTATGTGACCAAATGATGCCGCAATTACATCTTTTATCTCTAAAACTTCATATAACTATATTAATATACCGTTTATTTATCTTATTTATACGCAGATGAAGATTTTGAATATGAAGCAGGCTCACATAAAGGTGCCACCATCTTTTACATAGTACATGGCTTCATTTTAAAGTGAAATCAGTAATACCAAATTTACTTCCAACTTTTTATACACTACTACGTATATTTAATATATACATATTTAATTACATAGGTTTGATCATGCACATTACAAATTAATACTATTCATTTAAAATTAAATAAACAATAGCTGAGAATAATCTTCATCTTTCATTTATGCTTTCAATAAAATCATAATCTTGTGATATCATTAACTAATATAGTGCCCAATATTTCTCTAACCAACTTATGTCTCTAATGAACTCCATTGAGTATCAATCAATTAAAACATTATCAGTTTAAAAAAATGTAGACCTATCCAAAAAAAAATATTTTATATACGTTACTGTATCAGTTTAAAATGTCACTTCTTATAAACTTAATTTATACTATTTGGGTCCCTTTGAAATTCTCTCATGGCACAATGATGTAGTTATTCAAACCAGAATTAAATAAAGTAGTTGGAGTATGTTTTAAGAAATAATTTCAATAGGTTTATAATATAATGAGGTTAATGTTGATAACTTTTATGTTGTAAATGTAGTTTTTTAATATTTAATATTCAATTTGTCATTTTAGATTTGTAATTTTTCCCTAACATGAAAAAGATAACCTCCCTATGGGTCGTCCAAACAGGAAAATGGAAATCTCTCTATGAGACAGAGGGAGTACATATTACTATTTATTGGATAAATATGAGATTGTTGACTACTGAAGTTAATTGTAACTAATAAAATAAATACTTATAGCTACATTAAAAATTTTATTATTCATTTAAATTTTAATGCACAACTTCTCTTATTGAATTATTATTGATTCAGGAATCCCACACAATCTCAATGATTTGGACCTTGTGTTATTAATTAATCTCTTCACATTATATAGTGTTTTTATGAGTGTAACTTTTTATAATTTCCTATCATCAAGTTTCTTAAACTTGATTGGATTACATGAGTACAAATGTAACATTATTCGTGTAAAAATAAAGAAATATAGGTCTCAAATGTAATTACATTAAAATAAAAATAGTGGATAAAAACATAAATTAGTAACTTTTACTGACACGAAGTGGATTAAAATGTAAAAGTAGTGGATAAATATTATTTAATTTATTTATATTATTTACGATTCCTATATACATTTACAGACACACTTAAGTTGTATTTATTAGTATTTACATTCAAATATTTTATAAAACTTCAAGGAGGTTACTCCTAAAACATTACTAATAAAAATCAATGGATAAAAGTTGAATATATATAAGTTACTGCATGTAAAAAACATATTCACTATGATGTGACATTTGAATACTGTAATAGTCATTATGACAGATTTTTTCCTGCTACATTTCTTTTGATTATATATTTTGATTTTTTCAAATTATATATAAATCAGACTTACACTAATAGTTCTTTGTAAAAAATTCAATAGACATCACATATTTACTTTCTTCACTTAATTACTTATATAAATGTGACAGCTACTAAATCAATTTAAAATATCTATTTATTCATGGACATATTCTATAGATGTATTATAGAAGAAAAATGATGTATAAGTGTATACGACTGTGCCAGTTAATTATATGTGTCATAAGTAATTCACTCAATTTTACGTTTTACTAATTACGAAGTAATTTAATCATTTTTTACTAATCAATACAATGAAACTAAAATAGGATTCCAATCATTTTAAAACATGTCACTACTCTTATTTGTTGCACTCACCTTTAAGACCTAACTTTGTAATGCTAATTATTTGTTAGTAGTATTAACTGAATGAGTTTTTTCTTATTTACTTATGAGTGTGGAATTATGTACTAACTCATTGTATTTAACTTTATAAAGTCACTAAAAGTATCTACTATGTTACAGCGTTTCTAGATCTTGGTGATGCTACTTTTACATGTGAATTCTGTGATGCAATATTTTGGCATGCTGAAAAGTTAGCAAAAACAACTGCTTCTCACAGACCAATTTTCACCATGTGTTGTAATAAAGGGAATGTTGTCCTCCCTCCTATGAAAGAACCTCCATGTTTATTAGAAGGATTGATATTCGGACTTGATGAGCGTAGTAGGCATTTTCTAGAGAACATTCGTTCTTATAACTCCATGTTCTCATTCACTTCAATGGGTGGAAAAATAGATACACAAATAAATGATGGAAGAGCACCTCGAGTGTTTAGGTTGAATGGGCAAAACTATCATAGGATTGGTAGTCTTTTACCGGTTGATGGGAAACAACCTAAATTCTTGCAAATGTACTTATCAGACCCACATGAAGAGATTTCATACCGAGTGCAATCGGTGAGGTAATTAAATGAGACTTGCTAAATCAATTATACATTGCTTCTATGTTTGCATTGCAAAAGTTTAATTTACTTTACTTTTTGTGTCAAAAATATAGGGGTGAAGGTGGAACCCAATTACATGAAACACTCGTGTCAGACTTGAGAGATATGCTTGACACCTATAATGTTCATGCAAAATCATTCAGGATGGCGAGGGATAGATTCAATGACACAAATTGCACGTCATTGAAAATGAAGCTAATTGGAAAGAGAAATTCAGATGGACGTACATATAATACTCCAAGTGTACATGAGGTTGCAGCACTAATTGAGGGGGACTTCGACATTAATAAACAGGAGAGGGATGTGCTTATTGAGACGAAGTCTGGTGACTTACAGTTTATTTCAGAGTTGAATCCCTCTTTTCTTGGCTTGCAATATCCACTTTTATTTCCATATGGCCAGGATGGGTTTCGAAAAAATGTTCTCTTAACACGTCCAACAGATGGAAGAAAGCATGTTACCATGAAAGAGTTCTTTTCATACAGGCTTCAAGAGCGTAACAATGAATCCCCTTACATTTTGAGATGCAAACGATTGTTTCAGCAGTTTATGGTTGATGGGTATACGATGATCGAGTCATCACGTCTATCCTATATTAGACAAAATCAAAAGCAGTTGAGAAGTGAGTTGTACAGTGGATTAGCTGATGCACTTGGACGTGGTGAAACAAATACATCTAGGCTAGGGCAGCTCATTGTACTACCAAATTCGTTCATAGGTAGTGCACGTAACATGATCCAGAACTACCAGGACGCGATGGCAATTTGTAAGTGGGCTGGATATCCACAACTTTTCATCACATTTACTTGCAACCCTAAGTGGCCTGAGATTGTACGCTACGTCAGGGAAAGAGGGCTGAACCCAGATGATAGACCCGATATCCTATGTAGGATATTCAAAATTAAGCTCAACCAACTCATCAAGGATTTAAAACAAAATAAGTTATTTGGAGAAGTGAAAGCAGGTATTATTTAGATTACATATTTTTCTATTCTTAATTAATATTTTAATCTACAAATCTTCATAAAATATTACATGTACTATTTTGAAAAATCTCTTAAATCGTATTTTTTTTATGCATGTAAAAGTCATTTACACAGTGGAGTTTCAGAAGCGAGGCCTGCCACATGCACATATAGTATTGTGGGTTTATGAAAAAGAAAAATATGTCTTGGCCACATATATCGATAAGATAATTTCAGCCGAGATCCCGGATGAGAGACGTGACCCAGAGTATTACACCATGGTGAAGGAGCTGATGATACATGGCCCATGTGGATTGTTGAACAAAAAATCGCCATGCATGGTTGGGAACCGTTGCACAAAATACTTTCCGAAGAAGTTTGTACAACAAACGACCATCGATAAAAGCGGTTTTCCAATCTATAGAAGAAGACAGAATGGTAGAACTGTGGCAAAAGGCGACATTCTTCTTGACAATAGATTCGTTATTCCGCATAACCGCATGTTATTACTTAAGTATGGTGCCCACATCAATGTTGAATGGTGTAATCAGACACGTTCAATAAAGTATCTCTTCAAATATATAAACAAGGGCAATGATAGGATAACAGTTGCATTCTCTGAGAATGCTGATAGTAATAAATCTCAAATAGTTGATGAGATTAAGATGTATTATGACTGCCGATATGTCTCAGCATGTGAGGCTGCTTGGAGGATTTTTGGGTTCCCTATTCATTATAGGGATATTGCAGTTGAGCGACTGAGCTTCCATCTCCCAGGAGAACATAATGTGTTCTATAATGAAAGGGAATCCACGGCCACAGTGTTGAATCGTGCTACTGTTCTCTCAACCAAATTCACAGCCTGGATGAAGGCAAATGAAATGTACCCCGAGGCCAAGTTATTGACATATTCTGAGTTTCCTACTAAATTCACGTGGAAAAAAACATCAAAAACGTGGGTACCGAGGAAAAAGAGATTTGCAGTTGGGAGACTCTATTTTGTTCGTCCAGGCATAGGCGAGAAGTACTACCTTAGAATGCTTCTCAATGTGGTTAGAGGACCGACCAGTTTTGAGGAATTGAAGACCGTTAATGGTACTATTCATGCCACATTCAAGGATGCTTGCTATGCAAGAGGTTTGCTCCAGGATGACAAAGATCACATTGGTTGCATTAAACAAGTAAGTCATTGGGGATCTGCACACGCTCTCCGTGAGTTATTTGTTACCCTGCTGACGTCAGATGAACTTTCAAAGCCGGAATTGGTGTGGAAGCAATGCTGGGAGGATTTATCAGATGATGTACTATACAACATAAGAAGGAACCTCAATGATCAAGGTAAGCATAACTATTGGTACTATTTTATTCTTATTTTTAACAAGCTACTAAAATCAAATTCTAAATCATTTGATTGCCTTGCAGAGTTGGATTTAAGTGCAGCTCAAATTAAAAATTATGCTCTTCTAGAAGTTGAAAAACTTCTCCAACAAAAAGGGAAGTCTCTGCGCAACTATGCAAACATGCCTTTTCCTTCCGTTTCTCAAATCGATTCTCTTGAACACAACCTCATACATGAAGAGATGAGGTATGATGTTGATGCTTTATCTGAGGAGCATTCCAAGTTGTTGCTAGACATGACTGAAGAACAACGCAAGGTTTATGACATACTCATTGCTTCAATCAATGGAAATCACGGCGGCATCTACTTTGTGTATGGTCATGGTGGTACCGGAAAAACATATTTGTGGAGAACTCTGTCGGCAGCTGTAAGATCTCGTGGAGGTATAGTATTGAATGTGGCATCCAGTGCCCTTGCATCACTTCTCCTTCCAGGTGGACGTACAGCGCACTCTAGATTTGCTATTCCACTGACAGCGGCAGAAGACTCAACATGCAACATCAAGCATGGTAGTGCATTGGCCAAGTTAATTCAAATGGCAGGGTTAATTATTTGGGACGAGGCTCCAATGACAAATAAGTATTGCTTTGAAGCTCTTGATCGCACTATGAGGGACATCCTTCGATTCACTGTCACATGTGATGCTACTAAACCTTTTGGTGGGAAAACAGTTGTATTTGGCGGTGATTTTAGACAAATATTACCAGTTATTCCGAAAGGCAGTCGACAAGATATTGTACTTGCAGCTTTGAACTCTTCCTACTTGTGGCAATTTTGTAAGGTATTGAAACTTACAAAGAACATGAGGCTTACAGGTGACAAAAATTCTGCTGTTTTGAAGAGTTTTGCAGATTGGATCTTGCAAATTGGAGATGGTGTTCTTGGTGATGATGAAGATGGTGAATCAATGATTGAAATACCTCAAACTTTTCTTGCTCCTTTCATATCTAATCCTATAGAATCTATTGTGAGGTGTACATACCCCGATTTCTTGGAAAATGGAACAAGTCCTTCTTATTTGACTTCTAGAGCCATTCTTGCACCAACAATAGAGGATGTAGATATGATAAATAATTACATGTTGAGTTTGAATACTTCCGAGGAGAAGATCTATCTAAGCAGTGATTCAGCATCCTCTTTTGATTCTGAAAACAATCTTCTTGACGAGATCCATTCCCCTGAATTCCTTAATGGAATACGCTGTTCTGGAGTTCCGGCCCATGAAATCAGGTTAAAGGTAGGTGTACCTGTCATGCTCATGAGGAATATTGATTTCTCTTCGGGGTTATGCAATGGCACTCGACTTATTGTGACCCGACTTGGAGATAATATTATTGAGGCTCAAATATTGACCGGGACAAATGCGGGTAAGAAGGTCTATATTCCAAGGCTGACACTTACACCATCCGATGTTAGATTGCCATTCATGTTTCAGCGTAGGCAATTACCATTGGTGGTTAGTTACGCGATGACGATCAACAAGAGTCAAGGTCAGTCGCTTGAAAGAGTAGGCATCTTCTTACGTCGTCCGGTCTTTACTCATGGTCAGTTGTATGTGGCGGTATCTAGGGTTACAAATCCATCAGGATTAAAATTCATGATATGTGATGATAAGGGTGAGCCTAGCAATTCTACACTTAATGTAGTGTATAAGGAAGTGTTCAATAATTTGTAAACGCTTTGTCGTATTATATTCCATACAAGTGACTAAAATATTAAAATTCATGTTTTATTATGACGTTTATGATCGATCTTTTTGCATTACATACACTCTCATAGTAAAACACAAAATATGTCTCATATATCATATAAATTTATAATACATGTACGCAAATTAGAAATCGAAATTACTAAAATTTAAATACCCGTGCAACGCACGGGTGGAAAACTAGTTACCTTAATTAGCCAATTGTTCTATGCTTTTCATAGGCATTCACGATCACTATGAGTGCTTCTTTCACTGTAATGTTTGGCTATAAATTAGAGGGTATGGATAGCATGCTCCATGAATCACATTGTGAAATCCTATTTCTGAAAAAACTTTAAACTGTAAGGCCTCTTACAAATTAAGAAGTGAATGTTTACATTTTAATTCTTTTAAGGGAATCTTTCAATTGTATACTAAAGATGTTTTTACTTCAACTGTAATCCATCCCAGACTAGACCAGTTCAGACCAGACCAGACCAAACTTCGATAGTTATAAAAATACAAAGAGACCAGACATTACCAAACCAGACCAGTTCAGACCAGATCAGATTAGATCAGACCAGATTAGACCAGACCAGCAAATTACAGTCCAAGTAAAAACTTCTATTGCACGATACTACCTCCGTCCCTTAAAACTTTGCCAAAATTGACCGGCACGGAGAATAATAAAGTAAAAACTGTGTGGTTGAGGTTTGTGCAGAAGAGAGAGAAAAAACAGAAACCACAAAATAATTGATTAAAAAGGAAAGTGATAAAGTTTTTTGAGACGTCCCAAAAAGGAAAGATGACAAAGTTTTAAGTGACGAAGGGACTATGATACATCTAATGAAACGTAACTCTTCTTTTGTTTTAACTTTAAATTAGGGATGACAACGGGGCGGTTCGGGGACGGTTTTACATATAACCGTACCCGCCCCATTTGATAATTCCCCGCCCCATAACCGCACCATTACCCAACGGGTAATTTTTACCCAAACCGTATCCGCCCCAACGGGTAACGGGTATAACCGCGGGTAACCGCGGGTAATCACTTTATTAACTGAGTCATTGATATTTTAATATAAAAATAATATTTTTAAAGGCGAAAAAATGGCATCACCTAGATAACTCTAGAATGAGACGCCCCTTTAAAGTTTTATATATCTACAAGACGAGAAAGAAGACAACGTAAATTAATTTGAACCTAAAAAACTTAATCTGAAAAAATAATTATTCACTAAAAATCTGATAATAATCAAACAAGACTATTAAGATCTATATGAACTCTCATGGAAACATTATAGTTAGTACATCTATTATCCATATACTCAATGAAAATAGAAAAATCTATCTTCTATTACTCATGGGACAAATAATAGATAGAAATGTAATAAAAATATAACTAAAATAAACGGGGCGGGTACGGGACGGGTAATGGGGCGGGCATGTATAAAACCGTAACCGCCCCGTTACCCGTAAAAACAAAACGGGTATTCTCCGTCCCATACCCGTTACCCGGGCAATGCGGTTTTCCCCATTTTGACCGGGCGGTTCGGTGCGGGTATCCATTGGATCGGTCACAATTGCCATCTCTACTTTAAATCGATCTCTACTAGGAGTATTATTATAACTTCTTTTGAAATCCAACTCTTACATATTATCTTTTGATTTCTCTGTTTTAGCTGGTAATAGAATAGAATGCTTGCTAAGATGGTATGATACTACATATCATTTCCGAATTGAAACTCTACATATATATTATTCTGCATATGTTCTTTCACTTCCCTTACTTTGATTCACCATAGTTATAAATCTATAATTGCAACAATCTTATCATTTCATCATTTTCATTTTCATTTACCTCAGTGTCGCAAAGGCTCCCACCTACAGTGGAGTAATGGGGTCGGATGTACACACTCTTACCCCTGTACTAAAGGGGGGATAGACTGTTTCCGGATGACCCATAGTGAAAATCGCATCCGAAATTACAAGGACTGACTGCTTCTTCATAATATGATCACATATTTGGAAAGCCCGTATAAACTCCTTCAAGGTATAAGTGTTTGATTAGCCCTCTTGCATAGTACTTCGTAGATGACTAGATGGAAAACACAATAGACTTTCAAATAGTAGATACCACACGCTAGCAAGGGCATAGCTAGCTGGCAAATTTTACATAATATAGAGAGTATAAAGAAAAGAAATGCATGGAGATGAGATATGAAGGAATTTAAACTTAGATGAGATAAAAAACGAGTAGGTTGAAGATGATGACCGCGTCAAGATGAAGTCCAAACATGAAGGGCGGTCTGCTGAGTTGGGCGCCATTCCCATTGCTGTTACCATGCCCGGCCGGGACCACTCGAGTACGACCACTGCCGCCTTCGCCGCCCTCTCCACCACTGCCGTGCTCGCCTCCTCCGCTCTCTCCACCAGCGTGCCCGCCGCCGCTGTGACCGCCGCCGCCGTGCCCACCTCCACCTTCTGCGGATACTGGATCTACACACACATCAGCGATGAGAGTGATCAATAAAAGGATGACAATCATAATTATTTTAGTTGACAAGTTCGCCTTGGTCTTCATCTTCCTTTTTAGCTTGAACAAACAAGAGATAAAATAAGGTGTCGAAATAGAAAATAAAAATACAAGTGAAGGAGGACAAATCATCCATTGATGCACGGGTTAAATTTATAGGCGGTCACTAGGGATGGAAATAGGTTAGGCGGTCTATTAGGGGCCTGTGGCCTGGCCTGTTAAAAGTCTGATCTGGCCAGGCCTGTTTAGTAATTAAACTAGGCTTGAGCTTTTCAAAAAGCTCGTTTATCTAAAGGCATGTTTAGCACAACTAGCTGAAAAGATACTTTTGTGAGCTTTTTAATAGCTGTTAGCTTTTAGTGACTGAAAAGATCTTAAAAAGAAAAGGTGGCAACTGTTTGATAAAAAGCTGACTGTTTGATTTAGTTCTGTTTGGTATACAAGCTGTTAGGATTAATTAATACTAAAAGTCACTAGCTTTTCTTAGATGCTACTCCCGGTAGCATCTCAAAAAAGATATTTTAATTTTTGAAAAGCTCTTAAATATTGTCATGCCAAACCCACAACTAGAAGCTTTTAGGAACTTTTTTAACATTACAAAAGCTAGAAGTCAGGGACTTATGCCCGCCAAACATAGCCTAAATAGGTCAGGCCTAATCCAACTCTGAAGCCTTTTTATCTTAACAGGCCGGCTTATTTATATGTGTATGTGTGTGTATTTAGTTATATTTATATTTATTTATATTATTTACATTTATATTTATATTGGTATACTTAACTATAGCAAATTCGGCATAGTAGTATTTTTATGGTGTGTATTATAAATTAGAATAGAATACTACTCCGTATTTTTAATATATATAAAGTGAGTTAATAGTAAATTAAGATAATTGAAATTCAAGTTTTTCAATATTTGAATTACATAGAAATTTATTTTCACTACATAATAATGTATTATTAGACATCCAAAGCAAAACTAACGTATTATTAGACTTTTTAGTGAATATTTGGGGAAATAAATTTTATATCGGATTAAAAGGATTTTTCACTTTTTTTTGAGAAATTTTATTTTTTTCTTAACAGTCCCAGTAAACAGGCTTCAGGTCAGGCCAGGCTTTTAAACAGGCCAGGCTCAGGCCAAAAAACCAGGCCTTTAATAGGTAACAGGCCAGGCTCAGGCTTATATATTCTAAAACAGGCCCGGCCTGTTTAGGCGAAAGCCTGGCCTGGCCTGTTTCCACCCCTAGCAGTCACCTTGCCTTTATTTAAGTTATTAGTACGGAGTATAAAATATAAAAAAGGACTTCAAAAAATAAAAAATAAAAAAGTACTTGTATTTGTTTATTTCTAAATAATTACTGGATTTTATAGTTCTTTCACAACCATTATAAAAAGCATATATACAAATTCATCATGCATGATGTACACTAATTAAAATAATTAATCATATACTACATGTATAAGTTCTAAACACACAGTGATGATTCTATTGTGAAATTTCCTCTTTAGAATTAAGACAACTTCCTTACATATAAAAATTAGATTAGATGGAGTATAAGTTATTAATCAAATAGTTACGTTGTTCTTAGATATGTATATAATTAAGATCTTTTAATATTTAGAACCAAATTGTTAGTAACCCCTACTTCCGGCTTATTAGTTTTATCGGCCAATTCCCCCCCCCCCCCCCCCCCCCCCAAATACTTAACTTTTAATTTCACGCTATGAATTTTTTTAATAACCAAATAAATAAGGCTTAATTACTTTTTTGGTTGAATTAGTTAGAATTATTGTAGATGATCATTTTAGTTATTTCATCACATAAATCACTACAAAAAAAGTGCACATAGACTGCACATGGACCACATTTTTTTTGCGATGACAGCATAACTGTCGTTAAAAACACCATTAACCACACATTTTTTTATTTACCACACACAAAAATGTGGTAAAAGTTTAGAGACGACAGTTTTTAACCGTGGTCAATGTTTTTGCCACAACTGTTGTGCCGACGCACGTAAAACTGTCGCAAAACTGTCGTAAAAACGTAAGGAGGAACATTTACGACAGTTTTGCGTCAGTTTTACGTGCGTCGCCACAACAGCCGTGGTAAAAATATTGGTCACGGTTAAAAACTGTCGTCTTTGACCTTTTACCACAGTTTTGTATGTGGTAAATAAAAAAATGTGTGGTTAATGGTGTTTTTAAGGACAGTTATGCGGCCATCGCAAAAAAAAAAATGGTCTATGTGCGGTCTATGTGCACTTTTCTTGTAGTGAATGTTTCCTTAATTCTATTAATGAAATTTATTTTAAATATAATTTTTCCATATTCAATCAATTCTCAGCCGTTTAGCCAACATTTTATTATCAATTTCAGTAGATTAATATTCAATTGTTATCAAACGCGCGGACTCGATCGTAGACTAACACATTTTTTTAATTAATATTTTTTGACTAGTTTTATTATTAAGAGTAAATGAGTACTAATTTTTGGACAAAAATAACAATGTCACCATATATGCAATTTATTAATATTTTACTCCTAGTTACCACGGGCCCGTTCAGTCCCTATATCATACATCCGGGTGTATGTACACACGGCCCAACTAAGGAAGACAACCCCAATAACTAATACGGAGTACATGTCAATTTGTTTTGGTGGCATTTTCGTAATTTAATCGAAAAATCACGAGTTCCGATAAATGAGCCATAGTGTACGTTTAGTGAGCATCAGATTTTATTGAGTATTAGGAGGCTAACAATGAGTATAAAATTTGTACCAAATGAGCAAATGCAACTTACAAAATACGCATTAATATGAAAATCGTCAGGTTCGTTAGTTGGATATCACGACATTATTTTCATTGAGCATCAAATCTCCTCTCTTGAAATGAAAATTACGGTTTCTGGTAAATGAGCTTAAATGAACTTTTAATGAGCAGCAACCCGATCTTGTTGAGTATTATGAGTCTAATTAATGTTGAACATCGTGATATCTGCTTCATAACTTTTAATTCACTTTCTTTTTGTTATTTTCGATTTTATAAAAATTTCTTAAATTATATCTGTATTGAACTCTTATGAATTTCAATATGTGAATCTAACGTTATATGGTACTTTTGAAATATGTATTATATGACATATTAAAATGAGCATAACATCTGTACTAAATGAACATACGTAACTTACAAAATGAGCATTGATATGAAAATTATAAGTTTTGTTAGTTGAGCATCAAGACATTTGCAGTGAGCATTAAACCTCCGATACTGGGTACTAAAATTGTGCGATCGAGTATCATGATTTATGCTCGCGTGTTTATAACCAATTCTTATGCATGTGAATCTCATGATGTAATATGGTACTTTTGAAATATATATTGATATAACATTTTAAAATGAGCATAACAACATTACTAAATGAGCATACATTACGTGCAAACTGAGTAGCTAAAAATTCAAAAAAACATTTGTGTATTTTCATTTTTTAGGCGTATACTCATTTGAGTTTAATATAAAACTCATTTGAGATCAATAGCAGCAAGAATTCCTCAGCAATGAAGTATACTCACATTCCTCAAATCAGAAGCTCAATTGGGAACATCTCGAACTCGAACTCAATATCCGGCCTCTAGCCTATCACGGAACCAGAAATCATTTTTTTTTTCAATTCCTTTTCTTCACCATCCTATTTTTCTATAATTTCTCTAATAACCTGCAAATCAGAAAACCTAACGCCATGGTGTTGTACTACATGAGGCAAAAACCCATCTTCTTGGTGAGCTTCATAATCCGGTGGGGCGGTAGCAGAGTCGCAGACGAACCTAGGACACTGGGGTGTAGCATAGTACGTCAACGTCACCGGCGGCGTCTCTGTCTTCCACTGGAACCTAAAAGCAACGCATCAAAAGTTGAGACTTGAGAGCTCAGATAAGGGACCAAAGTAGTAATCATCACTTCGCCATGGGACATGAGTTGGGAAGCAGTCCTGCCTTTACCCTGTTTCATGGCAGCAGATTACAACGAACCGTGGTAGTTACAGAGGAGCCAAAATCAATATCAAAACTTATTTTTGATTCGCCTACTCAGACAAAGATATGTCTCCAACTCCAGTAAAACGACACATGCTTGTTCAGGCTTACTCAGATACATCAGACAACTTTTATCAATCAGATTCTTCTTCTTTCATGGACGACTTTCTGGGACATGCTACTGAAAGCGATCGTCGTCCCCCTATCTCAACTCCAGGAGAAATTACGAAATCAAAATTCAACAGAGCGATCTGCTGGAAATCAAAGTTTGTTACCTCAGAAAATTACCTGCCAACGGAAAACTTAAACACGCAGCTAAAAATCTACAGGAAATCTCACAAAAATAAAAGGCGCCACAGTATGACCACTAGGTCTCAGTCAAGAGAATTTCCTTGGGTGTAGTTTTAGTCTTTTCTTTCCCTGTATTGTTTTATTTTCTTTTTTCTTTCTCTGTATTTTTTTCTATGTACCGTTTACTTTTTTTTCAATAAAAATCTTTTTTCAAAATAAAAAAATGTTTTCCAAAAAAAAAAAGAATTCACTTCTTAGAGTGAGAAAGTTAGAGAGTCTCTTTGAGAGAGAAGAGAGATAGCTTGGGAAGTTCATATCCTCAAGCTTGAGTGAGCCACCATTGAGTGAGACAATTTTGTAACATCCTTGTAAATCCTACTATTCTTTTGTATAGTGGAAGAATCTCCATATTGGAGAATTTAAATCGTGTGCTCCCATCGCTACCTAATTTCCTGAGTGCCTATCTTAACTTCACGAAGCGGGAAAGTCCGGAGTTTTTCCCAACACAAGTCACAGTTCAAATTTAGTAGCATGGAAACTATTAGAGGCTTTTACTTTAGGTGACAACTCCAGTACCCATTTAAAAAATGAGGTACCGTACCTACCACTCACATGATTGGTCCAAATCATTAAATCATTTTTAATTTAGATTTAAATAATTCAACTGCAACATTCTAATCGGTCCAAGTGGACAAAGGTATGGTACCTTTTGGGTACCATAGAATCTACCTTTACTTTAAGTGATATTATCAAATGCACTGAGATTTTATTGAGTTTATGTGATTATTATTTGTTCTTCTGATTA